AGAAGATGATGAACTCACCGAACACATGGATAGAAGACACGCTACCTCTCAGGATGCTAATGGTTGCAAAATTGACAAAATAAGGTGGCTTTTTAATTGCTAGTGTCGAAAAGAAACCTTGGGAATGAAATTAAAGGTGTGGCGTGAAACTTGGAAGAGGAACACAGTAGCTCTTTTGACAGTCTCTGCCCCATTGCTGTTCTGGTTTTGTGCTGCCAAATGTCACTTTATATTTCAAATTAAACTTCTGCATGCAGATTATTATGTAAATTTAAGGGATTCTTTTCACTGAAAATGACTTCAAGAAAGAAGGCACTTGCAGAACTCAGTGGTAGAGGTAGCTATGATACCTGGATGCTTGTGTTGCCTAACTAAAGCCTTGCTGAGCCCTTAAATACTCTAAATTACCAGAAAAAAATAAGAGCAAGTCACTCATTCTGTACACTTCCAGGGTTGTTCCTGAAGTGTTTTATTAATAAGATAGCAACAGGTTGCATTTTGTTCATGCTCACTAGTATGTGTCTGTGTCCTCGTTATGCCATGTCAGATCTCTCCAGTAAGGAACATGAGCACAAAGAATTTTTTTTTTCTTTTGAAAGTTGCTTTATTTGTAGTTGTACATTTCTCAGATATGAAAGTCGCTTCTATAATGAAAGAAGTGTTACATGAAATGGTACTGTCCATGTCCTATCTTGCAAGGTGCAGAGGACTGTTACTTCCAATGTACTATAAAAAAAATCAGAGTTATAACAAGTTTGCTTATATATGCGTTAATTGCCTTGCTAGTATACAATCCTTACTCTTAACTGCTGAAGGCGTAGAGGGGGAAACTTTTTTTTAATTCAAATGCTACTGTAAAGGATCTAAGCCTGCCAATTTTAGTGATGACAAGTATGTTGGGTATTTATTCTGTAAAGTGTACTCATCTGTACCTGTATCTGTTAGTTTGGGGTTTGCTTGGTTTGGTGTTTTTTGTTTTCGGGGTTTGGTTTTTTTTTTTTCTTTTTTTTTTTTCCCCCCCAAAAGTAATTTGTCTGTGCTTCAGCGCCACCGTTAGGAGAATGCTGGGATGGTGGTGTTCTTGGTTTAGACAGCTTTGCAGTGTAAGAAATAGGACTGGAATTTGTAACTTGTAGAAATGCATGCTACTAAAGAAAGATTAAGGCATAAAATACAAAATGTACTACTTTTTTTTAAATAAAAACAGCCTATTAAAGTGAAATAGGAATTCAGTGGTTATTAAAGCCCAGTGGTTTATGTCAGTAGCTCAGCATGCAATATAACAAAATGCAGATGGAAAACATTTCCGAAAATAAATGCCTGTTTCTTTGCTCCAGCTGTGTAGGTCTAACAGCTGGTGAAATCTTGCACCTCAGAGGGGAGAAGGGGGCTCTTCACAGCTCCAACTCAGTTGCTTAATTTAACCATAGAAATTTAAATGCTGCTTGGTATTTATTATACACTATGAGTGGACAAAAGGAAAGGCGCTATTCGACCTGCTGGGAACCCGCTTTCTCTCTCATCAACCAGGCGGTCTGTGGAGTTTACAAATGCCAAAAGCAGTCGTCATTCCTGATATCTTACTGCTTCCGGTGTTCTGGATGAGACCAGCAGCTGCTGCGGATCCCTCTTTGCCAGATACCTGCAAAGTGTTACTCTCGGGGAGTAACGGCTGGGCAACAATGTGCGTATCACACTTCAGAACAATGTAGTACTTACACGGTACTAGATTTGCAGGCAAGTGTCACCTGCTGCGTTCTATCCTGTATGCAATTTTGATTGTTAAACTCGGCAGCCATCAAAATAAAATGTTTGGTTTGTGACAGTGTCAATCTCCTTGCTTTTGGTCAAGTAGAACATCTTCTGTCTCGCTGTTCTTGAACAGTCCTACAGACAGACAGACACAGCACGTTGTCATTATTTCAAAAGACACTGCCTACCACTACACAAAATCAATCAAAACTCAGTTTAAGTTTCAAAAAGCAACATGAACATAAGATTTCCTTGTGCACTGCACTTGTAATTAATCACTGTGATAAACTAGTGACACAGCAGCATTATGTGCTCGTCTAGCTTAACCAAGAAACTGATCTAAGTAACAAAAATGGGTCCTTTAGTACAAAAATTCTGTGCTCCTCCTCAGTTTTTAATGCCCTTTCTTCAGCACGTGCAGAAAAAGGAGAGTATTCCAGGTAAACCTGTAAGGGTAGTTGTCACCACACGCACAAGTGAGTCTCCCTCTTGCTTCCAAACTTACAGGAGGTCAGCAGAGGCAGTCGCAGCAATGTCTTTGCAAAGTATAGTAGTGCTTAACAATGCTAGATATTTAAATGTTACCATTGTTAGCCTGCACTGGAGTCTGCATACAGATCTATACTCTTCAACAGACTTTTAGTACCTGTGTTTTTTTACTTTTTTTACTATTGTCATACACAAGAAAAGTCAAAGCTGCCTGGGCAAGATGAGCTTGAGTAGAAGCAAAGATTACTAATCAAGCTGCTTTATCAGTGGAAAAACCACTTTGATTACCCTATGCATGTTGTAGGATTTAATTAGAGTAGAAACATGATGATTTCA